ATACTAATAGAAATAGTAGTAGTAGTAATAGTAATAAAGAAAGAGATGGAGTAGAAGAAAAAGAAGATGAGAACTTTGAGATGGAATATCAATGTAAGGATTAATCAATGATAATAACAAATGTCAAGGTAAGAGGTTCCACTAATGGTATGTCTAACAAGTATAGTATAAACTCTTATTATTCAATTGGAAACCACACACAAAGGAGGTTCCAATTGGATTATAGATTGTTAACATGATTACATTAGTCATCTTATTCAATTAATGCTAATACTTGTAAATCTCGTCAAGCATTCATGATTATAACTTATGTTAACAACAAATCAAGTTCCTTTCATAGCTCAGGTGTCGGTTATACCATACATTATGGGCTATGAAAGTGCCAAGCATTTGTTGTACCAAATGTTATACAACATAAATCAAGATTAATCATTTAACAAGCAAAGTATTAAAGAGTGAACAAGATAACAAATACAAAACATGTTAGTATCAAACATTAAAGTCCATATTAAGTTTACACTATACTTATTCTTACACCATTAGTGTAACCTTTTCACCTTGACATAACTAACTTAGCTAATTGACATATTAAACTTAGCTAAACATAATAAAAGAAAGAAAAATAAATAAACAAAATAAGAACATAAATAAGATAAGAGTTAACTAAGTAAAGGAAAGGAAATGAAAGACATAAACTTGATATTAATGAAAACAAAGCATAAACAATACAAAAAATATAAAGAGAGAAAGCAAGAGCATGATCTTGATCTGGAAACCAAGATGCCTAAATATATGGCAAATTCCTTCTTTTATAGGCTAAAATTGAGAACTATTGATTTGATGACTAATTGATGAGTAGGTGGCCAACTCTTGACTTGATGACAATCCTTATTTTATCTTGTCTGCCCATAACGTTAGTGATAACCTCAAAATTAGAGGTGCTTGAAAACATGACAATTGTAGGAAATTGTCTCAGCTTTCTTGTGTAAAAGCTTCAGCTCATTTGGACTTCTAAAACTCCAGATATGGGCCAAATACTGAACAGTGCTCGGGCTAGAAGACAGATTCAGGCTTCTTTGTTGTTGCTATAATTTGGACTTCAAAATGGCCTTTGTAGATCTTGGGCTCCATATGAAAGTTGGAGGCCTATGTCTTAGCTTTCTATCCATATAAAGTAAACCTAAATCTGAGATCTACAACTCCAAATATGACCCAATTACCAAACAGTATTCTGGTTTGGACTGCACCGGCATTTCTTTTCTAAGTTTGGCCATCTCTTTGTCCTTTCAATTTCAGTTCTTAAATTTATCAATCAATCCTTTCATTTATGTGATAGGCTTGCATTTAAAATGAATATTTACCATAAATTAAAGGTATCCTATATTATTATAAAACATGCTTTAGTTAAGGAATTATTGATACTTCAAGTGCAAAATAATGATATAAAACCTTGATAAAAATACACTTTTAAGTATCAATCAGGTTCCACTAATGGTATACCAAACAAGTATAGTATAAACTCTTATTATTCAATTGAAAACCACATACAAAGGAGGTTCCAATCAGATTATAGATTGCTAACATGATTACATTAATCATCTTATTCAATTAATGTTAATACTTGTAAATCTCGTCAAGCATTCATGATTATAACTTATGTTAACAACAAATCAAGTTCCTTTCATAGCTCAGATGTTGGTGTTCCTTTCATAGCTCAGGTGTCGGTTATACCATACATTATGGGCTATGAAAGTGCCAAGCATTTGTTGTACCAAGTGTTATACAACATAAATCAAGATTAGTCATTTAACAAGTAAAGTATTAAAGAGTGAACAAGATAACAAATATAAAACATGTTAGTATCAAACATTAAAGTCCATATTAAGTTTACATTATACTTATTCTTACACCATTAGTGTAACCTTTTCACCTTGACATAATAAACTTAGCGAAACATAATAAAAGAAAGAAAAGTCAATAAACAAAACAAGAACATAAACAAGATAAAAATTAACTAAGTAAAGGAAAGGAAATGAAAGGCATAAACTTGATATTAATGAAAGCAAAGCATAAACATTACAATAAATACAAAGGGAGAAAGGAAGAGCATGATCTTGATCTGGAAACCAAGATGCCTAAGTGCATGACAAATGCCTCCTTTTATAGGCCAAAATTGGAAATTATTGATTTGATGACTAATTGGTGAGTGGGTGACCAACTCTTGACTTGATAACAATCCTTATCTTCTCTTGTCTACCCTAAACGTCATTGATAACATCAAAATTAGAATAACTTGAAAACATGAAAGTTGTAGAAAATTGTCTCAGCTTTCTTATATAAAACATTCAGATCATTTGGACTTCTAGAACCCCAGATATGGGCCAAACACTTAATAGTGCTCGGACTGGAGGACAGATTCAAACCTCTTTGCTGTTGCTCCAATTTGGACTTGAAAATGATATTTTTAGATCTTGGGCTCCATATGAAAGTTATAGGCCTATGTCTTACCTTTCCATCCATATAAAGTAGACCTAATCTAAGATCTATAGCTCTAGATATGACCCAATTATCGAACAGTGTTCCAGTTTGGATTGCACCAACATCTTTTTCAAGTTTGACCATATCTTTGTCCTTTCAATTTCAGTTCTTAAATTTATCAATCAATCCTTTCATTTATGTGATAGGTTGCATTTAAAATGAACATTTACCACAAATTAAATGTGTCTTATATTATTAGATACGTTATTATAAAACATGCTTTAGTTAAGGAGTTATTGATACTTCAAGTGCAAAATGATGATACAAAACCTTAAAAAAAATATACTTTTAAGTACTAATAATTGGTACAAAGAAATTTATTATTACTAAATTTATAGATTTTAAAGTGGTTGATTAATGATTGTAATGAGCTAAGTTTAAGATTTTTAACTCATCTTGCAGGATATACATGCTAAAGGTATATCTCTTAATGAGCCCTTCTAAATGGGTGCATTAATTAAAAAAATTATCTAAAATGGGAATTAAAGACCTATCTTAAGCATAAAAACTTAAAAAATTAATGAAGGAGATGAGAATTAAAGACCTTATTTTAAGGTTAAGGATAAAATAAGAAAATAAATTATCTAAAATATGAACTAACTTTTCTGCTACTCTAAAAGTAAATGTTGTGGAACAAGTGGTAAAGACTCATAAAAAAAAAATCAAAAGAAGCATGTTGTGAAAGATAAATGAATTGCTAGGAAGTTTAGTGACAAGTGTGTTATTTGCAATAAGACAAAGTATTTGGCGAAAAATTACAGAAATAAGAAAAGGTAAGGAAATCTTATAAAAAGGATTGATCAAGCTAATATCATTGTGGTTGATCACCTTACCAATAAAGTTTTAGAAATAATTTTTTTTGTGTTATTTTTTAAGTGAATCTTATTAATAATTTTAAGTGGTGATGAGTTAATATTAATGCTGCATGACATATATGTTATGAGAATATAATGTTTTATTTTTACAAAAAAAAAATATATAAAAAACTTATATACAAGAAACTCATCAATTTTTTTAAGATGTGAAATTCCATAATATAATGTGATGTGCTCTGCCATTTAGTATTTTATACTAATTATTTGATTCATGTTTAACTATATATCAAATATTTTTTTATAAAAAAATAAAAAAATACAAAGATGTTTTTTTATATGGGCCAAACACTGAATAGTGCTCGAACTAGAGGACAGATTCAGACCTCTTTGCTGTTTCTCCAATTTGGACTTGAAAATGATATTTTTAGATCTTGGGCTCCATATGAAAGTTGTAGGCCTATGTCTTACCTTTCCATCCATATAAAGTAGACTAATCTGAGATCTATAACTCCATATATGATCCAATTATCAAACAGTGTTCCTGCTTGGATTGCACCATTGTCTCTTTTCGAAGTTTGACCATCTCTTTGTCCTTTCAATTTCAGTTCTTAAATTTATCAATCAATCCTTTTATTTATGTGATAGGCTGCATTTAAAATGAACATTTACCACAAATTAAAGGTGTCTTATATTATTAGATACGTTATTATAAAACATGATTTAGTTAAGGAGTTATTGATATTTCAAGTGCAAAATGATGATACAAAACCTTAAAAAAAATATAATTTTAAGTACTAATAATTGGTACAAAGAAATTTATTATTACTAAATTTATAGATTTTAAAGTGGTTGATTAATGATTGTAATGAGCTAAGTTTAAGATTTTTAACTCATCTTGCAGGATATACATGCTAAAGGTATATCTCTTAATGAGCCCTTCTAAATGGGTGCATTAATTAAAAAAATTATCTAAAATGGGAATTAAAGACCTATCTTAAGCATAAAAACTTAAAAAATTAATGAAGAAGATGAGAATTAAAGACTTTATTTCAAGGTTAAGGATAAAATAAGAAAATAAATTATCTAAAATATGAACTAACTTTTCTGTCACTCTAAAAGTAAATGTTGTGGAACAAGTGGTAAAGACTCATGAAAAAATCAAAAGAAGCTTGTTGTGAAAGGTAAATGAATTGCTAGGAAATTTAGTGACAAGTGTGTTATTTACAATAAGACAAAGTATTTGGCGAAAAATTACAGAAATAAGAAAAAGTAAGGAAATCTTATAAAAAGGATTAATCAAGCTAATATCATTGTGGTTGATTACCTTACCAATAAAGTTTCAGAAATAAATTTTTTTATATTATTTTTTAAGTGAATCTTATTAATAATTCTAAGTGGTGATGAGTTTATATTAATACTGTATGATATATATATATAGTGAGAATATGATGTTTTAGTTTTACAAAGAAATATATAAAAAAAACTTATATACAAGAAACTCATCAACTTTGTAAGGTGTGAAATTCCATAATATAATATGATGTGCTCTGCCATTTAGTATTTTTGTTTAACCACATATCAACTATTTTTTTATAAAAAAATAAAAAAATATAAAGATGTTTTTCTATAATAAATGAGTTCAGGATAACACCGTCAACATACTCTCTTTCAATGTCTACGTGTACATGTATCTCTCCCTCTCCAAATCTTTGCTAGTTCCGGTAACTGCTTTCCGGCGTACAGAATTGGCGGTATGGAGAAAGATCCTTTACTTCCTTATCTAAGCCCAAGAAAGAGAACACCAGTACCACCCCCACCACTTTGCCCTCTCCCTGAAGACGATGAAATCTCTCTACCTCTCCCTCTAACTCCTTCTGAACTTAAAGACCGCCTTATTTTTGGCCCATCTTCTGCTTCTCCAACAGACCCGTCTCCTCTTGTTGAAGCCTTAACGTTTTCTCTCAATTCACCAAGACCCTCCTCTTCTAATCAAGATTTCAACTCTTTCCTTGATTCTCCTCAGTTACAGCAACATCTTCATCAGCAATCTTGTTTAGTTGATCCTAATTACCCATGGACGAAAACCAATCTTCACAGGTCAAAAACTGCACCTGCTATGGCTGTCATCAATGATTTTAACCAACCTGTGATTACCAAGCCAAAATTTGGTTCCCAATCAATTATAGGTCAAGCTTTTTTTCTTTTGGTATTGTATCTGTCTCTCGGTGTGCTTATATATTCTCTTAATCGTGACAAGTTTGAAGGAATTGAAACGCACCCAGTTGCGGATGCTTTGTATTTTTGTATTGTGACTATGTGTACTATTGGTTACGGGGATATTACTCCTAATAGCACTGCTACCAAGTTGTTTTCCATTTTATTTGTGTTGGTTGGTTTTGGTTTTATCGATATTTTTCTTTCTGGGATGGTTAGTTATGTGCTTGATCTGCAAGAGAGTCATTTGTTGAGGAATGTTAAGAGAGGGGTCGAAAAGGAATCTGGTGGTTCTTATATAATTGATGTGAAGAAAGGGAGGATGAGGATAAGAATGAAGGTAGGATTGGCATTAGGTGTTGTGGTTCTTTGTATCGGAGTTGGTGTTGGTTTCATGCACTTTTTCGAGAGGCTAGGATGGTTGGATTCAATTTATCTATCCGTTATGTCTGTTACAACAGTTGGATATGGTGATAGGGCATTCACCTCATTGGCTGGTCGTATTTTCGCTTCCATTTGGTTGCTTGTGTCGACACTTGCTGTTGCTCGAGCATTTCTGTATTTGGCCGAGGCAAGAGTTGATAAGCGGCATAGGATGATGGCAAAGTGGGTGCTTGGTCAACACATGACTGTCTCGGAGTTTCTTGCTGCAGACATTGACAACAATGGGTTTGTGAGGTAATACTTTGTTACTTGTTGACTATTTCCACACTAGTGTCACACCAGTATGTTTCGATTTGTCTGCTTTGAAGGTCATGGGTTAAAAAAATAGTTTTCTTCATAGTTTTATAATTATCTGGGTTATCATATTCACTCTCTTTCCCTATTTGTGTCGTGCATTCCTTTCTACTATGTTTGGATAGTATGTATCAACGTTGGATTACATCGAATTGTGAATTTGTGGCATACAATTGAGTATTAATTTGCAGAAAGAACCAGAAAATCATGTACAAACTGCAATTAGCACCTGGAAGCTTAAAATTGCGATGTTAGCTGTGAAAAGTTAAACGTCTGAGATTTGTGTTCACATTTAAGAACAAGGTGGTATAGAATGAGATGTAGTTTGCAGCATGATATCAAAACACTCTGTTTATGCATTAACTTCTTGATGAATTATATGGATATTATTGTAGAGTTGGTAACTTTTTCTCACTTTTTGCATGGAGAGCCACTTCTTATGGTAAACGGCTTACAACTTAACTTAGTTACATGCTGTACTTTTTGTATGGCATTATTCATTTTAGGCTACTAGCTAACCCGCTCCTTGACTTGTTTCAGTAAAGCTCCTTTAATTGAAAAGTGCATGCAGCCTTCAGGTATCCTAAAAGCTCAATAGGTTATTGGTGAATTAAAATAAAGCTTAAAGTATTGGGCGGTAGGGTCCAGACATATTTAAGCTTAACTCTCTGTGGTTCATTTATTTATGTCCACTCTTAATGTAGCCTGGACTCTGCAATTGGGATTGAAAGGAAAATGAGGAAAACAGAAAAACGAGAAGGGCTTGAGAGAATCCTAAACACTGCTGATATTCTTACACAAGGAGATAGAAGTCCGAATAATAATCCGATAAAAAAATCATATGAAAATAACTTACAACTGTTTAAATAGGTACTAAACCGGCCTAAGTTGGAAAGGAAAAAGAACCCTAAAATAACTAGGAAAAATAAGAAAGTAATCTGAAAATATCTAGGAAAGTAAAGAAAATTCTGAAACAGCATCTTCGGGGTTTAATTTGGGCATGAAAACAATCTCATCTGGTTACAAGAAGTTGACTCCCATTAGGAATAAAGCCTATAGAACGCTATAGTAAAATTTTAGCTCGATTCAACTATCAATCAAAAGTTATGCTCATTTTCATCATAAAGTTCGTTTGACTTGTCAAGACTTCTTCTTGGGCTTGGAGATTCTGCATCAAATCTTGTCAATTGATGTTCTCAGAATTGCTTTGCTCCACTGTTGTTTGTGCAGTGTAGTTTGTATTCTAAACTGCTGTCTCCATCTTTGACCGAGGAATGAAGAAACCTCCTTTTAGTGTTAGCGATAGATCACCAAAATTTAACACCCCCTCTTCTAGTGAGCTTCTTTTTGGTAAACTTATAGGGGGTGTTAGTCATTCTCTGCTGTCTCTTTCTCATGTTTTAGTTGGAATGCCTTTAACTTTGAATCATCCATGGATTCTCGACATGCATTATTGCTTCGATGTCTTCCTCCTACCCTGCTTATTTCATTTTTATAGTGAATTTCCCCCATTCTGTCTCATGGGAAATGAAATCTTGGTGTCAATAATGGATTCGTGCATTGCAGTACAATTTGTTTGAAAAGTTATGTCTCTAAAATCCACATTGTTAATGTGAATACATGCTCTTAGGGTCAACTTCCAAACAAGCATACCTTTTCTCTTAGAAGTGGAGGCACAGGTAAATTTAGTTTTGCAGAGATGAACCTTAGTCTGCCTGTCAAGTATAAATGATTCCTTTCTTTGATCTATACATATTGGAATTATGAATAGACATTGGTTGAATGGACAAGTTACCTTCCGGCTATACATAGGCTTCACTTTTTTCATGCTTACTTGCTCTATAACAGTCCTCAATATTCTTTGCCTGGTTAAAAGGATTTTCTATGGAAATAGTTGATTAATGGAGTCAAGGAACTTGCCAAATATAGCTTTGTTAATATGGAATAAAGGTTACTGTTCAGCTTTTGTCCTAAATCAGAGCTATAAACTCGTGTCAGTATTGGTGTCTGAACTGCTGAAGCAGCTGAATACTCGAAGTAATTTGACTCTAAGACAAGCTCTTGCCCAGTTTTCTTGTTAGCTTTTCATCTTCATGAGGGCATTTGATTCCTTGTTCATTATCCCAATAGAACCCCCTGCCTCGATTAGACTACATAAGATTTCTACATGTGGCCTTGTTGCCCCATCTTTCACTGTCTTTGCTTTGAGAACTATGAACTTTCTGTTGTATTTTTCTCCATATACTTTGCTTTAGAATTGATTTTTATAGTACATAGTTCCATTCAAGCAAACGACTACTGTAGTTCCACATGAACTGTCAATATTCGATGTTAATACACCACTGGTAGAAGTTTGATTTTGTTTTCTAAATGTTTTTAATTTTGGTAATCAATCTGCCTAAGCATCTCCTAGTTACCGGACCAGAGAGGTTGCCCCAGGAGTTTACAAACATGAAAGATGATGATGATGTTTTGAGAATCTTGGTGTATTATTTGCAACATATAGAATGTGAAATATGCTTAATTTGCAAAAAAACTAAGCTAATGGATATGGAGCACTAATTTTTCAATACTTTTTAGATATATGCATACGCCAGAAATGTTGTTCCACCCAGAAGGTCTTAAGCAGCTACCCTCAATAATTGATAACATGGTGAATATTTTTGCACTGGTTGATGTACTTGGCTCAAGGTTCAGTGAATTTTGGAGAACAGCATGTAAATACCATATTCTATGTAGCCACCCTCAATAATTGATAACATGGTGAATAAGTTTGCACTAGTGAATTTTTCTTTTTCAAATATGGCTATGGAATTTTCCTTGTTCTTGTGGATTTTTCGGAGGCTTAATTTCATGCTAATTCAAGAAGCATCCATTATGAATTTCAAGGATTAAGCTGAGTGAATTTCTAGGCTCTCTATTCTTTCTTATCATAGGGTTTCTCCCTAAGGTAGCCTGAATTGTAGCTCCTATAGTAAATGGCATGGTATGGGAAGTAGAAAATCTTAAATCTAATTCATTGTATATCACATATATGGACTTTTATTTCGGGTTAAATGCTCATGCCTTCGTTATTGCAAGTGTGGAGACCTTTGTTTATTTTAAACTGTACATCCATTGTAAACCTACTATTCTTTGCTATTCTTTTTGGTTGCTCATAATTAATCTTGTCGTGTTGATCCTGCTTGCTTCTATGTGTCATTCCTGTTTTCAGCTTGCTCTGTGTGACTTAATCAGATTTCCTTTTTCCATGCTATTAGAAATTTGGATCATCTTCTTCGCAATCTGGTGTTGTTTACTGTTAGAAATTTGTTTTATCTTCTTCACAATCTGGTCTGGTATACCAAACTCTGGTTGACCAAGACTGGATATTCTGTCTTTATTGACTACTTGCATTGGGTTTAAATTTGCAGTAAGTCAGCGTATGTAATATACAAGCTCAAGGAGATGGGAAAGGTATCAGAGAAAGATATTCTGCAGATATGTCAGCAGTTTGAGAGGCTAGACACCGGCAACTGTGGGAAGATTACACTTGCTGATCTCATGGAAAGCCACCCTTGATCAAGTCTTCTCATGGGCTACCAAACACGAGAAATCTCAGTGGATTGTAGATTAAACTGTTGAAGCGCTTGAAGGGTTAATCATGTTCAAGCTGCATACAGAAATATAACTCAATGAGTTATAGTGCCTGATCAGCTGGGTCCTACTATTCGTCATGGCTACCCAATCAGCTTGCCATCTCTGGAGTTCACGTGGGCAAATTTCCGCCCTCTTTCAACCAAGTCTAGAAACCAGTTTGGATATTTCAACTGCTTAGCTCCTAGCAGCCACAATGCTGGTTGTATATTGAGTGACGGGGGGTGGACAACTGAGCTGATTGGAGTATAATGCAATTTTTCTAGTGTAGACCTGTTGTATTAATTCTTTTTGAGATGCCAAGAGACGAAGAGGTTCAGTAATGATTTGGGGTCTTCATCAAATGTGAATATTTGTTGTTGAATGAGTAAAGGTGGGGCTCCTACTCTCTCCCATCATCTGGGATAGTCTCCTTTGTGTTGTCTCAATAACAATTACAGTAGCAGCACTTTTATCCTGATTGAATCTGCATTCTGCAGCAAGTTTCTGCCCGTGTGTTTGTGTGCTTTCTTATGTGTCAAGGAGGCGTAGGGGGCAGTGACAAGCTCCCTATATCGTTTGTCAAGGTGGATATCAAGCCATCCTGAAATTGAAAAAAAAAGAAATTGATGAAAAAAATATTTTACTGCTTAAACCGTAGTAAAATGTAAGAAGCTGCACCCTGCAACTGCTATGAAATCGCAACGTGAAATTGGCCACACCTTTTAGAAATTTAATGTGGATCTTTTGTGATCTACTTTACCATAGAACAGAAATTCGAATTGCAGTGAAAATGGTGAAGGCGAGGTTTACTTTGTGTTCATAACTTGTTAGAAAGTTTACATTAAAAAAGCTCAATGGACTTCTTTACAATTTATTATCTCGTGCTACGATGAGGGTCACATAATAAAAAAATTTAACATGAAAAAAAAAGTTCATGCCACATCAACTGGTTAATATTATTATTAAATTAAATTTAGTAGATTATCCATATAAAAATTATGAAAAAAAAAGTTCATGCCACATCAACTTGTTAATATTATTATTAAATTAAATTTAATAGATTATCCATATAAAAATTACTTTTATATGATATAGTTAGTATAGTGGGTTCAAAAACAACCCAAATAATTTGTAAAAATTATAGTTTAGATTTAAAAAAATTTAAGATAATGTTTTTTTATTTTAACACTAAGACAAAAACATATTTGATTGATTTACAACTTAATTTTCTAAACCTACAACCTGAATTATAAACTTTATTATGTTTAACAATTTTATTTATTTATTTTAACTATTTGTTACATAATAATATGATAATAAAAATAAATATTTATAAAATTACTTATCAATTAAATATTGGATGCTTGTTTGAAACTATAATAACTTTATAAAAAATAGCAAACTAAAATAAATTATAAATACTCATTTAAAATTAATATAATATTAAAAAATAGAATCCAAAGAAAAAAAAGAAAAAAATGGGAAAATAAAATATTTTTTAAAGGGTAAGTAATATATATCCAGCTTTGATTTCGGAATGCACAGTCTGTAGATGCTTTTACATCATACATATTTCTTGACTGTGAAAACTCCACTCCTGAAATCTCTTTCAAGTTCCCTTTCCGAGAGGTAAAAAGCTAGAATCATGAATCAGCATGAGCCCACAGGGAGGTGAGTGACAGCCTCGAGAGCACACCAGGTCGCACGCCCTTGATTACTTTCTTAATAATTCTCTACTTTTTTAAGAATCACAAGACGACCTTTTCAATTCAAGTATTGAGCTTGACTGGGATTGAGCTGATTTAGACTAATTAGAGGATTTTTTTTCCCCTTATGTTCACTCAAATGGAAAAAAAAATGAAAAGAAAGTAATTTTAAAAGGTATACCTTAATTAATCAGATTTTAAATTTATTTTTTAAAAATTATTTATTTGAATTTTATAAATTTTAGAGTTATTAAAAATTTATATAATTATTAATTTCAAGGCTCATAAAATTAGTCAAAATACGTGTAAGTTAAACCAAACATCCATATCAATTAAAAAAAATAAAAAAAAGCAAGGAGAAAAATGATATGTTAGGGCATGGTCGGGTCACCTTGTCCTATTGCAAATGGTGACATATGTTCATTGATTTAAATAAAATCTTTGTTAATCTGACTTTAATTAACGAGTTAGAATGAGTCAAAAGTAGTTTTGACAAAGGAAAGAATCTAACCATTTGAAAACCTTTCACATTTGATCTTCAAGATAGCTTCAGAAACTTAAGAGTAATAGTTTTGATCGGTAATTTTAACTTTTGATTCAAGTCCGTATAAAAATAAAATACACATTAAAGAAAGAAAGAAAAACTATTTCTCCACAGAAATTTGCAAAAAAAAAAAAAAACAACTGTTTTCCTCTACTATTACTTGTTTCCATGAAGAAAGAGTTGAATAATTATTAAATAAAAAATAAACTAAAGCATTTCTAGTGTCTGACATATATAAAACACTTATTCACAAAACAAAAACTAAATAATAAAGCTTTAATTTCGAACATGATGGAAAAACCCTGGAGAAATGAAGAGCTTGGCAACTGCAATAAATGTGATTTTGGCTTCAAATTGGAGATTTAAAGGCTTCCAAGGTGAGTGTTTGATATTAGTCTAACGATAGCTTATGTACTGAATCTTTTAGGATATATTTTTTCTTCTTCTTCTATAGTTAAGACTTAGGGTTTTGTATTTGACTTATCTAGTTTTGTGCTTATTTATCATTATCTTATAAAAATATTGTTTTAGTCTACAAATCTCTTTTATTATTTAAAATCTAATGGGTGTGCGCTATTAATGGTTCATGCTTGAATTTTTTTATTTGTGTTATGTTATTAATCATTTATTTTTAATATTTTTAATTTTATTTTTAATGAATATTTAATTAAAAATACTTTCAATTTTTGTGTTGATAAATATTACATGATAAAGTTATTAATAAATATAATAATATTTATAATTATAACATTAGTAAATATTATTAAAAATTAATATTGATGATTCTATTATTTGAATATTAAATTAAAAACTTTCTTTTTCTTCAAAAAAACAACCATAAGGATATGTTACTCCTCTTAATATTCGAGACACTAGCTCTCTAAAGCCTATTTATTTCAAATATTTAAAATAAATAACAAAATATTTATTTTTATTTTATTTTTAAACGAGCATTAAACACATAGATAATAAAAAATGAGCTTTGGCGCCCGTCTAATATGTCTAGAACAATTCTACTTATATTTATTAGGCTTATACGAAGTAATGATGACCCAACTCAAATTCTTGCTCAAAATATAGGACATCGAACAATGAACACAAAAATTATTAGGAATATAACACAATAGACAAAAACATGATATATAATTTTTTGTTGTTTTCTTTTTACATGAAAATGCTTATATAAAAAAGCATATATGAAATGCAGCAAGCCAAAAATAAAAATCAAGCATACATACAAATTTCTCTCGTAATTATAAAGAAATATTCACATTAAAATTCTCAATTAAAAAATAACATCAATATTAAAAGTCATAATTAAAAAAAAACTTTTAAAAGCAACATCAACTCTTTAAACATATAAAAATTGCTAGTTAAAAAATAACATCAAAACACTAAAATTTTGCAATTAAAAAAAATATCAACACATTAAAAATTCACTTTGTGACCTTGAATAATTGTGTTGTAATTCCGATCCTCCTAATCTTATTATGGGTATTGATTTTGCTTAAACTCATAACGTACAATTTTTTTATCAAACTGTCATAACCTCTCCAATAACAAATAAACTGTATGTATAGGAACAACATCACATAAAACTTAATTATTATATCTTCTAATTAAAAATAAAACCATAACTTGTATATTTACCTTTACTTCACCATATTCATTTAATCATTGAAATATATAAAGCATAAGATGTTTTGTAGTATTCAAATTCAACTTATTAATAAGTATAGTGCTAACTACATTGGCATAACTTTCACATTCTATAACCATATTATATATCTTATTATTGATATGATATTTTGTATGAAAAATATTTTTATTTTGTTGAACAAAATCATCCTTCTTGACTTGAACATTAAATACTTGCCTGATCACAAGAGATTTACCCTTAACCAAATACCCTACATCATCATCACTAACATCCTTAAGTGGTGATATATTCTCATCATTGATATAGCTTTTGATTTTAACCTTCCAATGATCATAGAAGATCTTAATTATCTTGTTTGGATATTGAGAAGTTATGTAATATATTCTTAAATATAAATAACATTTAACATCATGATTATTGACATATATAAAACACTTATTCACAAAATAAAAACTAAATAAAATGAAGAGCTGCAATGAATGTGATTTTGGCTTTAAATTGGAGATTTAAAGGCTTCCAAGGTGAGTGTTTGATATTAGTCTAACGATAGCTTATGTACTGAATCTTTTAGGATATATTTTTTCTTCTTCTTCTATAGTTAAGACTTAGGGTTTTGTATTTGACTTATCTAGTTTTGTGCTTATTTATCATTATCTTATAAAAATATTGTTTTAGTCTACAAATCTCTTTTATTATTTAAAATCTAATGGGTGTGCGCTATTAATGGTTCATGCTTGAATTTTTTTATTGTGTTATGTTATCAATGATTTATTTATAATATTTTTAATTTTATTTTTAATGAATATTTATTTAAAAACACTTTCAATTCTTGTGTCGATAAATATTACATGATAAAATTATTAATAAATATAATAATATTTACAATTATAACATTAGTAAATATTATTAAAAATTAATATTGATGATTCTATTATTTGAATATTAAATTAAAAACTTTCTTTAAAAAAAAAACTAGAAGGATACGTTACTCCTCTTAATATTCAAGACACTACTCTCTAAAGCCTATTTATCTCAAATATTAAAAATAAATAATAAAATATTTATTTTTTTTTATTTTTAAACGAGTATTGAACACATAAATGATAAAAAATGAGCTTTCACCCGCGTCTAATATGTCTAGAACAATTCTACTCATATTTATTAGGTTTATACGAAGTAATAATGACCCAACTCAAATTCTTTCTCAAAATATATGACATCAAACAATGAACACAAAAATTATTAGGAATATAACACAATGGACAAAAACATGATATATAATTTTTTGTTGTTTTTTTTTTACATGAAAATGCTTATAAAAAAAGCATATATGAAATGCAGCAAGCCAAAAATAAAAATCAAGCATACATACAAATTTCTCATAACTATAAAGAAATATTCACATTAAAATTCTCAATTAAAAAATAACATCAACATATTAAAATTCATAATTAAAAAAAAAATTAAAAACAACATCAACTCGTTAAACATATAAAAATTGCTAATTAAAAAATCACATCAAAACACTAAAATTTTGCAATTAAAAAAATATCAACACATTAAAAATTCACTTTGTGACCTTGAATAATTGTGTTGTAATTCTGATCCTCCTAA